CCCAGCCGGATGCTGGCGCAGGCGCGGTTGCCGAAGCTCCTGCCCCGGCTCTGCGCCTTCGCTCCCCGCCTCGCCATGAGCGGCGTTACCGGCACCTTCACCGTCCAGCAGCCCCTCAACTACCGGGGGGGGGCCCGCGTTCAGCCGGTCGACGGCGGGCAGGCCGAGGAAGTGTACGAACCCGCCACAGGTACCGCCCCGCCGCCTTCCCCGGGGGGGTTCCACCGGGGCCGGTTCCCCCTCTGTCGCCTCCGTGGGGGCCGGGGGCCTTCGGCTTCCCCTGGCCGCCCTGATCCCGGCAAATGGCACCTTTTAACCATTTCTTATTTATTATTATTTGGAGATCCTAAAGTTTCAGCAAAATGGCTTCGAGGAAGAGAGGCTCCGACTGCTCTGGGGAATGTGTAACGGGGCCCTGAAGCTGTTGGTAGACGTATAACGAGCTCCAGTGGGAAAGAGAGGAATTCCGTAGCCAGTAGAGCTAATTAGTAACTAGAATGGCTGTGGAGAGCGGCGTATTTTTTAATTCAGACCAGCTGAATCACAGCATTCAATTACAGATCAATTCTAGATTCAATTACAAATCAGTGGGACCCATACCATGAAGTTCTGTAGCTTGGTATAGGTGGCAGGGCTGAAGTCTTTGGGCTTTGATGCAAGATAAACCGTATTTTTTTAATATATTTAATTTTTTTATTATTATTATTTTTTTGTGCCCTTCTTCTGACATTTCCATCTCGTTTCTTTCCTGTTTCAAATGTCCCCAGGTCGGGTGATATGCAAGCTGCTCTGCTCCGGGGAGAAGGAGGTGGATCTGGCCATTGAATTTCATCCAGTTCCTCTCTGCCCAGCTCTCCAAAAGCTCTGAATGCTAAGAATCTACAAAATCTAATGAAAAAAAACCCAACAACAAACCAAACCAGCTTTATGCCTGCAGGGAGGATGCGTTGGGGCGCTGCCACCTCCGCGCCGCCAGGGGGCGCCAGAGCCCCCGGGGGAGAGAGGGGGGCGGGCCCCGGGGGCGCTCCTCCCCGCAGCGGCGGGGCAGGGCCCGGGGCCCAGCGCTAAAAGGCGGCGGTGGGGCGGGGAGACCGGTGTCTCCCGGGGGTGGGAAGCAGTTCCTCGCCAGTGGGGTCTCCCCA